TAATAAGATTGTTGCAAAAATCCAAAGTTCCTTAAGTTATTTTCAGTTTCTTATATAACTACAAAGAGTTACTACTTCATCTGAGGAGTAAGTGAGACCCTAAAGTGGCCTTGTTAACATGAAAACAACAGGCAGAAACACAGCCAAAACTGACTCCTGATTTTCAAATCCAGACCATTTCTCTTCGTAGAAGGCAAATCGGAAGAGTATGTTATTACTTAAATGTAACTGACAGTAAATTTAGATGATGACAAACTTACAATAGCATCTATTTTATGGTTCTTCCTTAACTCCTCTTAACTGTGACCAGCAATGTACATGAAAATCTATTTTCAAAACCAAACAGCTCCAGGCAGACTTGGAAAGTCTGAAATAAGAAAACACTTGGATCTTTTTTTTTATTACCACTCAAGTGTTTAGTGATGTAAGTAAAGAAAAAATTCCCTTTTTGAGATGGCTGAAAGAATACTCAGGCTCAATGCAATAAGATTTTATGAAACAGTGTCAGACATGTTTCTCAGAGCAGGAAGGTGCTAATCACAAATACAACAAGTCCAGGTGAATAGTGGACTTTTTGACCCAGTAACCACAAAGGCTTAACCAGTCCCATGGAGTACCAATGACAACTGCAACCATATAATTGAGTGCTCGTCCATATCACATCATTAAAAACTGCAGCAAGAAACTAAAATAAAGATTGACATGTTGCACAGTACAAAAGCAAACCCTCTAAAATCATTCGTTTTCATATGAAACACAGTTAACACCTCAAAGGGTACCAGGCAATTTTGGAACCTTAATAAAAGTTCTGGAGAACTTTACTAGAAATGAAAACTCTGGATATAGAGCATTATTATGTTCATTTCTGCTATAGCTCAAATATTCTTGATTATGCCAGGAAGAATCATCTTCAATGAAAAATGCCAATAACAAAACAAAAGCTTTCTTCCCCCCCCACCCCCTTTTGGTTGCTTATTAATATTATCATTGTAATGAAAGTACACTGTGAAACTTACAAAAGTTCTTAGAATATAATAATTGAATTCTCACCTCTATCATTCTCCTTTATCCTCTCTCCCCCAACTCCTGGCATAGTTTCAACAGGTCTCATTTCACTTCTTCATAAACTTCTTATTAAACATCTACACTATGCACAGTAGATTACTAGGCACTTCAGGGGTACAAAATTCCTGCCATTGCAGAGCACAGTGCACAATCAAGGAGAAAAACCAACAAACAAATATTTAATATCAGTGACATCAGAAAGCACTGAAAGGCTTAAGGGAATCATTGAAAAACTACTCCATGAATTGAAAATATGTTGTATATGGCTAAGTCAAGGAAGAACTGAAGGGAAGCAGAGAGAAGGAAGGAACAACAATTCAGACATAGGAGACAGCATGATCCTAAGAGAAGAGAATAGCCTTTGACATATATGGAGAACATAAATATCCAATTTACTACAGCTGAAGCCTGGTGAAAAATGCAACCTTCTCTTTTAAAATAGTTAATTCAATCCAACATTCACTTTAAATACTTATTCAAAGTCTATTAATTATTTTAAGATGCATTAGATGGAACTGTAAGAGTGTTGGGGGAGATGTATAGCAGAGACAGGGAGAGAAAATAAAATTCACAGCTGGTATGCTTCTTCTAGAGCCTTCTACATTGAGTTCTTATTTAGGAGTCCCATGGCTCAGGCTCCTCAGCATCCTGTGAAAAGCTCTGCTGTAGCCTGTCACAATGCACTGAAATAGTGAATTGACCTACTGCCTCTCATACTGGCTTGAATACTGCTTGAGGACAAAAGACAGGTCATTTTTGACTTTACAGTTCCAGGACCTCACAGTGTAGAGCACAGAGAAGGTTCTTGAAAATGTTTCCTAATTGAATGACTGAATAAATAAACTGAATTATTCAATCAGTGAATAGATATTTAAGATATATTAGGCTGTTGGGGACGTGATAATACTCTGGAACATTTCAGTATAATACAAAAGGCATTCCCTGATGTAGAGCAAAAATCAATATTTCGGCAATAATACATCGAGGAGGTGATAAAAGGATAGCTGAATCAGTTACCTTTAAAAATTCCTTCCACATCTGAAATACCACATCACACAGATAAAATGGGGCTGGATTATAAAGACCACTGAATGTCAATATAGTCACTATTTGGCATCCAAGAAGAATTGGTTCCAGGACACAGCCACTCCCATGGACACCAAAATCTGCAAATTCTCAAACCCCTTACATAAAGTAGCATAGTATTTGCAAATAAACTACACACTGTATACTTTTTTTTTTTCATTGAAGGACCAGGAATCAAAGCCAGAGCCTTATACATGCTAGGCTGCATCCCCAACACCTCCCATATAGTTTAAATACTCCCTAAATTGCCTACAATTTGCCTAAGATAAGGTAAGTGCTATGTAAATAATTATTGTACCATATTATTTGTGAAATATTACACGAAAAAAGTCTGCATGTGTTCAGAACAGATACAATTATCTTTCAAATATTTTCAACCTATTGGTTGAATCCACAAATGTGGCCCATAATAAAGAAGGCCAACTACATAAACAAATTTGGATTTTTTCATGGGAAATGAAATTTATTCCAGCTTCAAGAGGTGATTTAAAAAGACAGATAAATCAAGAGTTGTGGTACACCTGTAATTTTGGCAATGAGGAGGCAGAGGTGGGAGGATCACTTGAGCATAGGCATTAAAGACCAGCCTTGGCTACACAACAAGACCCCTTCTTCAAACAATTTAAAAATTAAAGGATATACACAAGAAATACCTTTCAAAGACTATACATTAGCTAGAGAGAAATATAAGAATAGAACCCCAGGTGAAAAGATAAAGGCCTGAACCAATGAAAATAAGAAGCAATGGCTGAATAAGAGAAGTAACGGTAGAATGGGCAGAGTTTACTGACTAAATAATTTAGACAGGCAAAGGAAAGGAAAAAAATAATAAAATATACAAAGTTTAGATGAGAGAATAGTGCTCTCTTATCAAAGTTTGGCCAAGATAACTATGGTACCAAAGCTTTTTCGCTAGCCACACCCCACCCCCCAAAAAATGGCAAACAATTCTCACTTAACATGTGTCCCTGAATTAGGAAATGGAAAAAATAATAATAATAATAATAATAATCAACATGTGATCTTGAATTAGAGTCACTTGGAGTACCCATGTATTGATTTGTAGACTTGCCTACAAACCTGTGGAATCAAAATTCAGGGGACCAGAATCTAGAGATCTGTAAATGTGCATTTATGACAGGCTGCCCAAAGCACTTACTAGTTTCTATCTGAATATAACTGAGCTGAGTTGAAAGTAATTAAAAATCAGTACCAAAATGAACTATGCGTTAAAAGTCCATTCTAATAAATGATTACATTCTATTAATTGACTGTAGGTAGACTTAATGAAGCACAAAAAGAACAAACCTTTAGTTTTCATATTTTCTCCCATCCTAAGTTGCACCAGTGATTATCATTTAACTTAATCTATTAAATGTAAAAGAGGATATGAGTATGACATAGAACTTAATGCTAAAAACTCTCAATTGTCACATATCTCGTACATTTTTACCATTAAAAAAGAAACTCATAAAGGATTAAAGTATGCATTTTTAGTCCTAGAGATGAAGAGAAATTTAAGAGATTGGTATGCTGGAGAGTTACCACATTTAAAACAATGTGGGATTCTGTGAGATTAAATTCACACATTAAGGAAACTATACATTGCTTCCTCATCTAGTCACTCCTGGAGTTATTGCCAAACTAATTCCTATGCACATACTTCAAACAGTAAGTAATGGAGCATTCAAATCTTTGTATTGTGACCCTACGTTAGCACTACTTGGCAGGAGGTGAGGCACAGAACTGGGTGGAAAGCTGAAAAGCAGAGCTCCTCAATATTGCTTAAATTTTGGTTAAGAGCCATAGGAGCTACAGAAAGAATGACATGATGATTTACTACTTCCATCAACTTCTGCTTAGTCACAAACAATTGCTTATTTTCAGAATTTTAAACCCTACATGCCTTGGCCTTCATTTGTAAAAGGAAGACTGCCTCTTAGGAAGGGAAAAGTGTATTAATTTTCTATATATACATATTGAAATTTGGAGACAAAAATTTTACAGCTGTCACCCAGTGAATTTACATTTTCATTTCACCTTCGGGGGAAAAAAAAAATCATGCAGCCAAAAAGAAACACTACAATGATGTGCTCTTTAGATGCATAAAGCTCTATGCTGTCACAAAGATAACAATAAAGACAGTAAAGATAATGAAGCCCTCCTGAATCTATTCATTTTCCCAGCATAGATTTCTACTTTCTTTTCCCCATTATCTCTACCAAAATAAATAAATAAATAAAACCTTAACTTCTACTGAAAATTTACCTGGTAGAGAAGAAAATCTTTTCTTCTAAAAAACAATTCACCAAGATAAATAAGAACTTCTAGCAAAAAGTATTATCTGTTTTCATAACATCATTTTCATACTTTACTTTTCACTATGAATCATTCTGTTAAAAAATGAACTGGCCTTGAACAGCCAGTTCAAGGCTAGTGTGGGCTACACAGTGAGACCCTGTTTCCAAAAAACATAAGTGAACACTCATAACAATGCTTGTATTTCTTGCCATTATTTTTCCAATGTCATATGCATTCTTTTTTGTTATAAAACCATTCCATACATGCATCTTCATATCTGCCTTTTTTAGCTCAGCATTGTACTTTATTATATATTGTATCAGTGAACAGCCAAAATTATACTACTGAACATTTTCTATGGAGTGGCAAGTTCACATATATTTAATCTTTGTAACAACAAGGCTGTTCTGAGTCATCACAATTTCATTTTATCAAAGAAACCAGTATTTTTTTCATCTGTAACATTCAAACTCATTGTGGAAAATAATTAATCTGCAAGAAACACACCGAAAAAATCATGCTTCCAAAGATTTAACATACAAACTTACTTATAACTTTCCACTTGTCGGCAAGAGGAGACAGTAATGAAGGAATCTGTACGGGAACTGTACGCAAGAGGACCAGGCAGAAGGGAACCAGGGAGAAATCTCCCAAAAGCAAAGCTTTCCTGCTCAAACACCATCAGCATCCCATCCACAGACTGGATGCAGATTAAATCTCGACCTAAAAAAGAATTACAAGAAATTAGAAACCGATTCTTTTCGGGAGTATAATGCTTTAATTTATCACTATCCATCAGGAATATGTCATTGTTATTTTCCTCCACTGGACAACCCATGATACGTTAAATTTTAAGTTACAAACCAATGAAGCTATCAGATTACTGATATTTCCCAATTTTTATATTCAAAAAATGTCTATAATTTTAAGTACATTTATTTTTATTCACTATATGCTAAAATCTCCTAGCTCAAGATAACCCCTAAGAACAATCATGATTCTTTGTTAGATACTATATTTTCCAAATTCAGAAATATAATAAAAACTGTTCTTCATGGAACTACTTCTCTTCTTCACCATATGTCAGTCTCATAATTTCAGATGACTTAGATACTAAACACAGCAGTCAACAATATCAAAATACATTGCATCTGTGCAGGTAAAGAATAATGGGGGGGTGGAAGGGAAGAGGTAAGGGAGAGTAATGGAAGGGGGTGAACTGACCAAAGTAAAGTATATTCACAGTGCGGATACATTGAGAAATCCCTCTGAACATTGACTTTGGAATTAATAATGAAAGACAGGACTATAAAACAGGTACAGTGGCAGGGAGGTACCTGGGGGAGAGGGGAGGATGAATGGAGGAGATTAAGGTAATGAAATATGGTTGGTGGACTTCATATACATATATGAAATAGAACAATGAAACCACTTGCAAAATTGTTTAAGTAGGGTGGGGAGGAGATTCAGGGCAGACAGATGGTGGGATCAATCTAACTAATGTATAGTGTAAGGCTATTTGGAATTGTCACAATGAGTCCCCCTGTGTACATCAAATATATCTAATAACAATGAGAAAAAAACTTTAAGGAATCATAGCAGATTTTCTTAAGTGTGATCATAAAGTTGTAATAATGTAAGAGAATATTCTTACTGGAAGATAAGTGCTAAAATAAAGTATTCACAGGTGAAATGATACAAGGTCTATAACTTACCTTCAAAAACTACCCTAAAAAATGTGTATACTTAGATACATACATACATACATTTATAGCTGCTAGCTCTACATGTGAAAATATGGGTGTTCATGTTACTTTTTCAATACATTTTTTGTAGAAAACTAAGTGTTTAAATACATATTTTTATATATGAAACACTTATGCAATGACCTTGACTTATGGTAGAAGAAATTACAGTAACCAAAACATATAGGTATCTGTATTAATGAAGACTGTGAGTTTAGAGCATGTATACTTGCAAACAGAAGTACCAACAAAATTTGTATTAATTTTAATATGTGGTTATTAATGAACCAGAAATCTTCAGTCTCTCAAAGACCTTAAAGAAGTGGTCCTGAAAATATGGCTCCCCTGACTTTTGGGAAAAATATCAGAGAGGCAGACACTTTCCCCATCAGATGCTGTGAATAACAATGCTAGATAACAATGAAGAGTCTTCTCACAGAAGAGCAAAAGAGAGGAAGAGCACTGAAAACCATAAAAGAGGAACAATACAGCTGAAAAATACAGCAAAACAGAAAAGTGACAGAGTAAATTAAGAAATAGTTTGCAACTCCAGCCCCAGCTGGGGAAGGAGGAAGCCAAAGCCTTCACCTCGAGAACCATGGACAAGATTGGTGCCAAAAGCAAAACAGTTTTGAAATAACATCTCCTGAGTGTACTCATAACCACCATAAACAAGGAAGTATTTGGCCAGGGGGCAAAAGGAGCAGCAGCTGGCTGCTGAGGCCAAGGCATTCAGTTCCCAACCCAGAGCAAGGAAGCTGCACAGCTCACAACCTCAACAGAAATGCCACCTGGGCCTGGTGAGAAGTGACTGTCCACAAAAGAGCACCAGAGTGTGGTACATCCAAAACAAAGCAGTGGTGGGGCCAAGAGTGGCAGCATCTACCATGGCAAGAGCAACAACAGCAGAGGCTTAAGGACTAGGCCCAGTGCAAGGTTTCTAATGTGGCAGAGACACAGTGAGCTGCCTTGCTGCACTTCCAATCCCACTGCAGAGAAAACCACCAGAGAGTACATTTAACAAAAGTCTGCCTCTCAAACATAACAACAGACTGCCAATAGTGGGGAGCTTGAGAGAGGGAAAAGTTACAAGTTAAGAGGGGATGGTGTGAGACTGGCAAGTAGAGGACCCAAACTCCAGAAACCTTCACCAGAGAGTTCATTTAGATCTCCAAATACTCCCCCTCCCCACCCTCTGGGGAAGAAACAAAAGGCTGTCAACAGACACCATTCCAGGGGCAGGTATCCAATCAGACTGCTGTCAGAGGAATGAAAGACTTGGACACTGGTGGGGTGGCAGGGAGCAGGACAAGGCTTGCTCAGAAGAGCCTTAGAAAATTCTGAATTTTTATGTTAAGTGTTTTTTGTCACTGTAAAGTTTGAGATGTACAGATTTTTTTTTTTTACTTGTTTGCACTTTCTTTTTCTGTATATTCTGGGCAATTGTGCATTCTCTCTCCCCCATTTTCTCTTTAGTCCTGCCTTTCCCCAATTCCCCTTCCCTGTATTCATCATATGAGAGCCCCAAAACCTGACTTTCAATATTCAATTTAAAACCATTTCTTCTTCTCCCCTTTCCTGTTGCCCTCCCTTATTTATACTTTCCATCTGTATACAATCAGAACAGCTCTCTAGCTCATATTGTCTCCTTTCTCTGTTTACCCACACATAATCCTCCTTTATTACCAACACTTTAAATAGTTAAATAGGTTGCCAGATTATTTCTGCAGTTTTGTTATACTTATGCTCACTTGTCTGCCTGTTAATTTTCTCCTTTTTTCTTCCCACTCTGTCCCTCATCTTAATATCAATTAGATCTCTTCTACCAATCCCAGTCTGCTTTTTCATTAAGCTGTTCCATTAGCTCAGCCACCACCACTTTCTGCCACATAAAACTGCATACATCATATTATTCACTAGAGTTATGCCACCTATCTACGTCCCATTATTACCCCTATTATCTTCAATCTTCCAGGATCACAAAAGATTCAGCTTTGCTCCAATGGACATGTAAAGATACTGGAGTGGTAGGAGTAATTGATTTTCTTGAGGGACTGCTATACTATCAAGGCTGCAGCTTAGCAACTGATAGCTTCAGCAGCTAACTTCCTCTTCCTATGTGGAACAGGAGGTGGCACCCAGCACCGTGAGTTCCAAAGCTGAAGGTATGACTACTGAGCCACACACCCATCATCTAGAGATAAGAAAACACACCACAACTCAACCACTACCCAGTCCTAATTAAGTGTCAGAAATCCCCCAACTAAATGACCCAAGAGATTGGAACCTTCAACCAAAAACCACCCCAGATGTGGAAATCTTAACATAGAAACATAAAACATCAGGCAACAGCACTCCCTCAAAAGCTAACTTCACAACTAAAGACTAAACAATAGTGAAGAGGAAGAAATATCAATCATTGAATTCAAAAAATAATACTAAGAATGATCAATAAGCTCAAAAAGGAGACATATAAAGACAGTGAATGAACTCAAGAAGATCTAACTAAACTACAAACTAATCACAAAGAGAATAAATAGATGAATGAAATAAGACAATGCAGGATGTGGAAGAGGAAATCAAGATATCAGCAAATTAAAATGAAAAGCCCAATATCACAAACAAAAACCTCAGTTAAAAGTTTGGCTAACAAAGTAGAGCAAGTTGACAGTACAGTATCAGAAATGAAAGACAAAGTAGAAAAATTAGATCAAAGAAAGACCATGAGAAAAATACTACAAAAATAAGAATGGAACATGGAAGACCTCTGCAACATCATCAAAAGACCAAACCTAAAGATCATGGGTGTAGAAGAAAGATAAATACAAACTAAAGGCACAGACACCTCATATAATAACATAATATCTGAAAACATCCCCAATCTTAAGAGAGGGACATCCTTAGACAGGAAGCTTTCAGAACACCAAACCAGCAGGATCAGAAAAGAAACACCCCCAGAAATATTATAATTAAAACACTCAATATACAAAACAAAGAAAGAATACTGAAAGCTGCAAAAGAGAAGTGACAGGTCACATAT